TTTTAATATATATCATGTATTTTCTTAATAAATTTGTAAAATATAATTAAAACATATTTAGTTCAATTTATTTCTCATTTCATACTTATAAATACTTATTTTTGCATATATAAAATTTTATATTTTTATACAATATTGTTTACTATTTTTATACAAAAAAATACATAAAATAATACATATAAAAAATTTATTTTTTAATAATAATTAGGGTTAAACCCCTTTTAAAAATTAATTCCTTTTCCTTATATTTTTAGGTTTAGATGAAAAATTCTTTTACATAAAAAACAAGACACAAAAAAATCTTTTCTTACATATACATTGTATTGCATTTTTAAATATTATATTGTATTTATTCTAATTCGTACAAATTCGATTTGGTTGTAATAATTTATTTAGGTTTATATTGTTTGCAAATCCCCATTCAAATTTGTATTCCCCCCTCCCCTAAATTGTTGCAATAGCCTAGAAATATTTACATTACGCAATTTATCGCTTTATATGCCATGATTAGTAATTAGGGTTTGTATGACAAGAACAAAACAAAGCAAAATAAAAAACCCTAAATGCAAGACAAAATCAAAGCATGAAAATGATACACTTGCACACAAGCATCATTAGGGCTTCTCCATTTGGTTGCCTAAAACAAAAATAGCCATATTACGCATGCGAAGTATCTTGGCAAAACAAAAAATATATAAGATCATAGTCCCTCGATGACGCTATCCAAAAGTTGCCTTACAAAATGATCTTGGTCCCTCAAAATGCTAAGATACTTTACAAACATTGTTAATCATGGTTATACGATGACCCACGCCCGTCCCGTTTACATCCAAAAATAGGGTTGCTTACCAAAACAATGGTAATACAACAATGTCAAAGGAATAAAAAATGCATAAGAAAGATATTTGAGTAGGTAGATTACTTCTAGTTACTTGCTCTTTTTCAAAACAACAATCCTTGCTATTTTCAAAACAAATACACATATTTTAAAACATCTTACAAACATTGAAAATATTTTCAAAAAGAAAAACATCTTTGTATACATTCTTACGAACGAGAATCATTACAAAGATTGTCTAAACGAATGGCCTCTTTTACAAAATACTTTCAAAACCACACCAAACACAATTTCAAACAAACAAAAGAAAGTGATCTAAGCAAGTAACTAAGAGCCCATGGAAAACCATGGATGAAAAGGGTGCTAATACCTTCCCTTTTCATAATCTACCCCCTGAACTCAAGAAAACATCTCAAAGGTCTTTCCTGTGCTTTTTCACCTTTCCTTTTGGATAAAAGAAAAGTTGGTGGCGACTCTTGCTAACCGTAACATTTGCGATAAAATGCAAAACCTCAAGTCAGTTCTCCCACCGTACCATACTACCACCCAAACTCAAGAAACAACCTCAAAGGTTTTTCCTGTGCTTTTTTACCTTTCCTTTTGGATAAAAGAAAAGTCGGTGGTGACTCTTGCTAACCGCAACATTTGCGATCAAACTCAAAACCCTCAAGTCAGTTCTCCCACCGCATCACATGGACCACACTGCAATTTGGATTCTACTCCATCTTTGAAGCGTGCAAAACTTGATTTCTTGTTTATCCAAAAGCGGATAAAATCGGTATTACGAAAATTAAAACCTAAGTTATCGCAGTTGAATGTCTCACTGTTAATATGGGCAACAATAGTATAATTTTGTGAATGATCCATGTTGTTGAGGTATGTTTTTTGTGAGTTATGGATGTATACTAGTAATGCAACCTACACAGACGATTAAATAGACTGATATTTTGCATGCATGCGCCACCCTAGGTGGCTTATCCTCCTATTTTATCATGCATGCGCCACCCTAGGTGGCTTATCCTCCTCTTTTTGCATGCATGCGCCACCTAGGGTGGCTTGTCATTGAACAACAAAACTTACATGCATGCCATTTGATCCCTTCCACGCTGCAGGTTTGCATGCATGCAAAAAGCAAGAAGCCATGTTGAATGGCGCCTATGTACAACCATGAGAGCATGCGCCACCTAGTGTGACGCCTATGTGCAATAAGGAAGAGCATGCGCCACCTAGTGTGGCGCCTATGTGTATAAGTTGCATGCAAAGTGTTCTTCAAGATTTTCCTATAAATACATGTAACATTCACCCTATTTTTTCATCACAATCATAACTCATATACTATTCATTTCTTGAAGTCTCAACAATAACACAAGAGTAATCAAGATAAAATGTCTCTCTTGACCATGGGTGATCAACATAGAGGAACTCCGAACAACATTGAAACCTTTGAATGTGTATTTTCCTCAATATCTATTTTTTACCGACAATTTATTATTCCTTAATTCTTATGATTGTTATATGTAAATCTTGTATTTCTTATACGTAATTCATATTTTTAATAGGATGTTAAAAGATTTCGTTGTCGTGTCCATGAGTATGTCCCTTACGATGTTCAAATTGAATCGTACTTGCGACATGCCGGTTTTGGTCCGTTACTCAACATAGTCAATTACCATGTTGACTATAAAATTATTCTCGCATTAGTGGAGAGATGGAGATTCGAAACTCACACCTTTCATCTTCTATATGGTGAATGTACAGTCACACTAAAGGACGTGTACATATTATTCGGTCTACCGATCAACGGTAAGGCTGTCAATGGCCGAGTCAACCAAGACAACACCATATAAGAGGAACTTTTGGGAGTCTCTTTATTTGAACAAGGGTCAAGAGGCCAATGTATTAATCTCCGTCTTCTTAGAGAATATCATAGTAGTCTCGTAATAACCGAAAACTCTACCGAGCAAGAAAAAATTGTGAAAGCTCGGTGTTACATAATGATATTATTTGGCCATTTTTTATTTCCTGAAACAACGGGTAATACTGTTAATATCATGTATTTACCCTTGTTAAGACAATTTGATAAAATAAACACATATAGTTGGGGTTCAGCTGTTTTGGCCCATCTGTAAAAATGCATCAGACATGGCGCTGGTCGAGAATGCCGACACTCGCCCCCTGCAACACAAGGCCATTCGTCTTCCCCTTTGTACAAAGTAAGATTACAAAATCATAAATTTTACATATTATCTATCGAGACATGTAGTGTTTTAATTTATTACCCATTTTTTTATGTAGGTGGTCTGTTCCTGTGATGAATTACAATAAATCCCCTAGAAATACAATAGTAGTCTACAGAAATCTTATTGATCATGTTGGACCCGAAGAGGTATTAAACTTACATATTTTATACAACACATTCAATAGTTTAATTAAGTTAAATATTTTATATAACTTTTTTTACTCTACAGTTTGTATGGAGGCCGTATAAGGATCTCGACCATGAGATTAACCCTCTTGATGTTGAAGTATGGACTGCAAAAACAGCACTCATCAGGTTCACTACTGTGGAGATGCACCACAGTGATCGTGTGAAGCTACAGTTCAGCATGCAACAGGGTATCCCCGACCCCCCAACATGTTCGGGCCAATGGCATCTACTCAGATTTAACGACTGGTGGAGATTTAACGATTTGAGAGACTTCGCCAAAAATCAATGTCGTCAATAGAGGCATAGACGTGAATTGGTCCTAAGGGAGCCGATCTTGCAAGATGACTTAAAACCGACGCTCTAATATTTGAGATGGTACACATCGATTTCAACAAATTTGTTTCTGTCTCAAGAGACTTATTTGACTGACCCACACCAAAGAGCTACAACATACGCCCAACAACAACCCTAACAACCAACCCCTCAACAATACTAAACCCAACAACCAACCCCTCAAGAATACCAAACCCAATAACAATGTCAACCCACTCAAACCCAACAACCATACACCACCCCATTCAACCAAACTCGTCATCAATTCATGCCACACACACAAATACAATACCAAGAGCATGACCCGACCCACCACCAACAATATGCACCATCCTCATCCTACCACAACACCCAAGACACATATGATATATCTCCTTCCTACCATACCACTAAACCTACATACAGTCAAACATCACACCATCGAAGTACCCAACCATCATACATATTTCATACACCGCAAGAACCGTTGCTTTGTTTCCATCACGATTCAACATCCCAATACTATCAACCACCCCACCACCCACACATATCCCAACCAACAAGACTAAACTTTAACAATATGGGCACCGATCTCTTTGGAAGCACATCACAGTTGGGCGAAATAATCGATGAGATGTATGATCCTGATGTACTAGGACCATCACATAAAGTACCTCATAATCAAGCGAGTCAGAACAGACCACAAACACCTCAGGAAAATCAACAGAGAGGAGTGAGACAAGGGGCGAGGCAAAGGCGCAACCGTTTATGTCATACGGGGACCCGCTTAGGTTGAGGGGACGTCCAAAAAAAATGTATCCATGCGTTGTGTAATATTAAATATTAATATAAAATATTTTTTAGTTTTTTTTAATTTATTTAAAAAAATTGCAATAACACTGTCAAGCCAAGGAGGGTGACGCCTCCTCTCAAAAACACATGCATGCGCCACACTGCATGACTTTACAGAGGAAGACAAGTCATGCTGTGTGACGCCTCCTCTTTAAATTAAATGCATGCGCCACACAGAGTAACAACTCCTCTGTGTGACGAATTTTTTTTTGTTTGAAAAGTAGTTATTTTAGTAAAAATTTTAAAAAAGTAATTATTTAAATTTTTTAAAAATAAAAAAAAAATTATTTAAAAAAAAAATCGAATTTGTATCTATGTACTCTAGACAACTATCAATTAACTTTAAAAGAAATATACTTAACAAAAAAGAATAAAAAGCTCCTCTACAACATTTTTTATTTCAAGTGAATAGTAATGAGTTGTATAATATAATCCTATTAGTAAAATCAACCTCCACTAGGAAGGAATGCTAGGTAAGTAGAACTAAAATGTTCACAAAATATGCAAAATTGGCGGAACAAGGCATAAATAAAATTTGAATTTTTAGAACCATTTTTGTTGTTGATTGATATGGCAGAACCCACTGAGATCCGCAGGTACTTCATTTCTTCCACCTGCTTCTGATTCCGTCACATTCACTTTAACATTGTTATTACATTCTGCAAATTTTCAGTCAAATATCAGAGATTCACAAACTTTGCCGTGGCGACGGCGACGGCGCCGGTGAAGAATCAAACCCTTCGGATTCCCCCGATTTACTCCTCGACTGTGCTCTTTATGTTCAAGTTACGCGCTTTTTCTCAAATTTGCACTCTTACCCTCACACTATCAACTTATTCACTTTCAAATTTCATTTTTACAGAACACAGTGGAACAAATTGTATCCGAATTCTCTGATTTCGATTCCCTAGGAATTTCAGATTTAGGTGATTCAATCAAATCTGTTCGTTTTTCGTTTTCCTTATGCAATTTATGTTATGTGAATTTTAACTTGCGTTTGCTGTAGATACTTATATAGAGCATTTGCAAAAGGAACTTAACAATGTAGAGGTTGAAACTGCCAATGTAGTTACCGAGATTGAGCATCTTGCAAAAACTAATCAGGATGGTTAGTCTCACTTGCATTGTATGTTTGTTTCACATAGCTCCGTCAATCATTTTATATCATTTTTGTTTTTTCCTGCAGATTCTGTTCAATTGGAGGCCAAACTTGAAGAATTGGTATGTTCTTTACAATTAATTATATATTACATCGGCTTGCTACTTGGTTCATTTCCAAACAAGCGAATTGAGAAATGATTAGTATTTGATGCACACTTGTTGATTATAAAATAGTATGTTAAATTATTAGGTATTTTGGTAAATAAATATTTATTGAAGTAAAAAATTTGAAGGGTTCTGATAAAATGGGGCAACGGAATTTCGCAAGAGGGTTTTATAGATAGGGACAAAACTAGTTGTATAATGCTCATTATGAACGAACCCTTTTGAGTTAAACATATATTGACTGCGCTTATCCATCCTTTGTCTAATGAGGGGAAGGGGATTTTCCATTCGGTAATCATATTTTGACAGTTGTTTTTTTAATAATTATAGGAGCAGATGACAGCTGAGGCTAATGAAGGAAATGTTTCCCCGATGTTGCTAGACACCGACATGAATCTAGGAGAAAATTTGGAGGTGTTTTTGATGACTACACCCTACTACTTTCGGTTTATTTTTATTCTTTCTAGCATTGTATTAGTTTCAAACACATGTGGATTTATTACTCAATGAACACTTTTCTGCTTCTTTTACAGAGAATCATTTTGGTGGTTATTTGTTGTAATTTTTACACTAACTATATATTTGATTGAAATATTTCTTTGTGTGTTGCAGCAATTGGAACTTGAAAATAAGGTTGATGAATTGAAGTCGATTCTGAAGGCTGTGGAGTGTCTTCAGTGTAAGGTTGAATGGTAAGTTCAGCTATTTTCACTCACACTTTCAGATGATTATCTTTATACTATGGCTTGCTGATCCTGTCCCCTTTTTAAGGTTTAATGCTCTAGAGCAGGTTGACGATGCATTGGCTGGTCTAAAAGTGATTGCATTTGACGTGAATTACATTAGGCTGTCTTTACAGACTTATGTCCCAACGGTAGAGAGCATTTCATGCCTACAGAGAGTTGAAGATACCATTGATGCATCTGTGCTGAGTCACGAGTTATTGATTGAAGTGTTTGAGGGGACCACAAAGTTAAAGGATATTCAGGTTTGAAAGCAGACCGCCATTTCATTCTTTGACTTGTTTGTTACAAACATTGTTTATTAGATTAGACAACTGTGTTCAGCAATGATATGGATAAATACTGATATTTATTAACCTTTAAATCTGTTAGGAAAAAGTGACAGTTTGAGTGTTGCCATCTAGATAAGCTCCTATGAACTATGAAAGGCTTTTAGATTAGGTGATTTTTTAAATAAAAAAACTTAGTCATGGAGTTGTTTTTCTCATTATATTGTACGAAAGTATTCCATCCAATATGTAATGATTTGTAGAAAGATTCTATAGTGAAAGAAGGATCATTTGCCAATTTCATTACCCCGGATGTTTCTGGATTGGATAGAATCCTTAGCGTCATACTTTGCTGCTAACTTTAGATTTCACGATGAAGACTTGAGAAATGGTAGTTATAAGATTAGGTGCTGAAGGAACTTATTTCTATTCGTTAGTACTAACGCTTTATACTTCACACGTCATCCTGGCAAAACATAGCAACATATGTCATTTCCCCTTTCCTAATCTCTTCCTTTAGTAGGAGTTGGAGATTGTTGGATGCTTTTGATATAATTCCATTTGGTTATACTTTAAGAACAGCATATGAAAGCATTAACTTACTCATTAGTTTAGTATAGCATTTTTAGAATCCTATTTAGCTCTTGTTGATTTGTTAACTATTTTGGTTTTTTACTTTTTATTTATTTATTTTTTTAGGTTTTTCCTAGGGATATATATGTGGATGACATTGTCGATAATGCAAAGTCTGTCAGGTCCACTGTTTTCTTCTTTTCTCTGTCTAGGTTTACTTAGTTCTCACCTCCTCCCAAATTCCTTATGGCTATAACTCATACTTTTTGACTATCATTCACCATGCAGTAAGTCCTCATTGCAGTGGTTAATACAAAAACTGCAAGATAGAATTATACTAGGCACTCTTAGGTGTCTCGTGGTAAAGGATGCTAATAAATCAAGGTGAGACTATAGTCCTTTGGATTTGATGTTATTAATTTGTATTATGATTTAATATTCTTTTATCTATTTCTTTATCTCAATGTAGATATTGTCTTGAGTACTTGGACAAAGATGAGACTATTGTAGCTCATTTGGTTAGAGGAGTTGATGCATACATAAAATTGTCTCATGGTTGGCCAATTTTTGGTTCTCCATTGAAGCTGATATCTATCAGGGGGTCAGATATTTTGAAGAAACGTTCTCCAAATTTTCACTGCGAAGTTGAGGTGAGAGAATTCCTCTGTATTAGCTATAAAAATTTCAGATATTATCCTTCCTTGTGCTATACGGACGTGTAAACGCATTCTCAATGTAGTATCAAAGTTTTCACCTCAAACTGTCATACCTAAATTGCTTGCTGAATCCACTGAAATTGTGGCGTAGTTTTATGCATGTATTTTTATTTCATTTGATAATAATTGGAATATCAATTCATCGACCTAGCCAATATGCTAGTTGATTTTATGTTACTTTTAGTTCTCAAAGGTGTCTATATGATAGTACTCCGATATTTTGGAAACTTAATTGTACTATTACTAGAGTGACCTTGGTAGGCACATGGTTTATCACATTATGCAGAGTTCAAGTCTAGACTTCATTATAACCCACCTACGTCCAAATCTTTTGTTTGAAACTATGTCAATTTTAGATGCAAGTTTTAAACAAAAAGAATTAGCTCAATATAGGTTTATGAAGAAGCTGTAGATGTCCTACAATTTGTTGTATCGTGAATACTATCTCGTAGTTCCTTTCATTCACATTATTTTGGTAAATTTATAGCAAACAATACTTGGTGAAGTTGCAGCTGCATGGATTATTCTACTAATTTTACTTGGAATATGTATTTTTATTATTGAGAAGTGAAGAGTTTGCACTTGTAATATAAAATTGTGGTGGTAGAACGAGGTTAATTTAAAGGATACATTTTGTAGGCTAGTAGTAGATTAATCCGTGAGCTTTTAAGAAATTAGCAGGTTGTAATTGGCTACTAATTACATGTTTTAATGTTACATTTTGTGTGTGGTGTTCTAAATAATTGGAAATTTGTAAAAATTGAAGCTTCTTTAGCCATGTGAAAATAAGAACTTCAAAAGTACTGCGCAAGTTAGCATGTCTTATGGCAGCCCCTTGATGTTTTGCTATACCACTTTTTAAACAAACGGGTGTCTTTATCCTACATACGTACCAGTATCTATAATGAAATCATGTCTTGTATATTTGGGTTAACTTCAATTCCTCAAGGGCATTATAAATAGTGCAATGACTGGAACTTGGAAGATTTGTGCACTGACTTTATATTTCTTTTGGTGGATTGACTTTTCAGAATTTGGCCAAGAATCTAGATACTCATAATCAGCAAAATATACTGGACTTTGTTGATGCTGTTGAAAAAGTGATTATAGAACAGTTGCAGCTTGATCCTAGAGCCGCTGCTGGCTCTGGCTAAGGATGTGCTCACAACTTTAATGCTCATTGTAGATGCCTCCAAAATCTGTATGTTTGAAGTTCTGTATCTTGTGCTCTATTCACTTCTTTATTTGCTGAAGAAAATATTATAATTATCTTGTTAAGATGATTTACTGCAGTTTTAAACAATATACTGATATGCTAAACTAGTATATGTAACATTCAAATTGTCAGGATCAGTTCATCAGATATTGTGCAGAATTAAGGTTTTTTACTTGAGTCCATAGATCATACGAAATTGGTATCTTTTAAATGATAGTATGTGCCGATGATTGAAAAGCCTATCATTTCCCTTTGTGTGCCTTCATCGGTTCAAAAGTATTAGTACTTCTACCATTCAACTTTTAGTCATATCCGCATGTACACGTCTTATATGAAAGTGCTTTTCCCTTTTCAATTTGAATAATACCTTCAAAATACCTTCAAGTCCTTGTCCTAATTAAAATTAGTTAGGATATTTTCAAAGTTTTATCTTGGCAATTCATAAAAAATCATGAAATTGCAAATTGATAAATATCTGTATTACAAATATAATATGGAAGGGGTACATTAAGCAACACTACATTACATTTAGAATACGAAAACAAATTTTATTCAAATGCTCAGTGAAACAAGTGAAGATAAAATCCCCCAAAAGCAAAGTAAGAATTAAATAAGCATATAACCATAGCACATCTAAGCAATTTAAGTGGCAACACTGTGGAGCACTACAGTCTCAACGGTGAGTCCGGGTCCGAAACCAAACAGTACACCCCATTCCAACCCCTCGCCTGTTGTTGCATGTCCGTCTTCTTTTGACTTCCTCCTCATCTCATCCAAGATGAATAACACACACGCACTTGACATGTTACCATACTCGCTAAGCACATGCCGAGTGGCTCGCATTTTCTCTGACTTTAAGCTTAGTTTGGCTTCCACTTGGTCCAGAATTGCTGGTCCACCAGGGTGTGCGATCCAAAATAAGGAATTGTAATCAGAGATACCTAAAGGTTCAAAGGCCTCAACAAGAGCTTTCTCAATGTTCTTCGAAATGAGACCAGGAACATCCTTGAGGAGATGGAATGTCAGCCCGACTTCACGAAGGTGACCATCAATGGCTCCTTCACTATCTGGAAGGATCGTTTGTGCTGTCCACACCAATTCAAACAAGGGTTTCTCAACTTGTGGTAATGGGTCTGAACCTACAATCACAGCTGCTGCACCATCTCCAAACAATGCTTGCCCCACAAGGCTATCAAGATGAGTATCACTTGGTCCACGGAAAGTTACTGCAGTGATCTCTGAACAAACAACCAACACACGGGCACCTTTGTTGTTTTCCGCCAAATCCTTAGCCAAACGAAGCACCGTTCCACCAGCAAAACAACCTTGTTGGTACATCATGTAACGCTTCACATATGGAGGAAGGCCCAAAAGCTTTGTGAGCTGATAGTCAGCACCAGGCATGTCCACACCACTGGTGGTACAAAAGATGAGATGGGTAATCTTGGACTTAGGTTGACCCCATTCCTTGATGGCCTTTGTTGCTGCCTCTTTTCCTAGCTTTGGTACTTCCACAACCACCATGTCTTGTCTTGCATCCAATGAAGGTGCCATGTACTCACATACACTTGGATTCTCTTTTAGGATCTCTTCTGTCAAGTGCATGTATCTCTTCTTTATCATCGACTTATCACCTGAAAATTTATATGCAATTTAGTCTTAACTGTTTTATACATGCTGAGAGTGACAGTACAAATTTAAGGAGCAAAACAAAACAACATACAAGCACTTAACACAAGGATATGCATGAGATAGATATCTTACACATGCGCTGGAATTTTTCTTTGAGTTCAGTCTTATGCTCACTGTTTGTGATGCGGAAATAGTAGTCCGGGTAAGTACTCTGATCCACACAGTTTGGAGGAGTTGCAGTGCCTATTGCCAACACAGTTGCAGGGCCTTCAGCCTTCTGTGCCTGGCGGATCTCATCAACTGTAACCATTTTCTTTCTGAGTGTAAATTTGGCAGGGACGGAGAAAAGAAGATGAGTATTGATAGGTTATATCTATCAAAAGGATTGGAATGGTTGATGGCTTGGCACGTTTGTTGTTGTGCCACAAAGGAAGGACTCTGAAAAGAAATCAAAGGGTGTGTTGCAATATTGCTCCTTAAGAAACGTCGGTGTATATATATGAGTGTAGAGAAGGGAGGAGAGAACTGGTAGATGAATCACATGCTTAACTGACCAAATTTCTAGCAAACAAAAATAATTATTGAATATAACAACCTTGTAATTGGCAAATTAATGGTTTAGTAGTATATATTATTGGAGGTGAGTTATCTTCCACTTACAAGTTTCAACCCCCGCATGACTGCATGGACTGAAGGTTTGTTACATACCAAACCATATTGTAAATGTGTATATGGAAAACCTTATTAGTATTTGGAAGGAAAGTTTGAATGGTAAAAATATATTGTTGTTTTGGTGTGCTAAAATAAGGCAGCCAATAAACTTAATGGAGACTATTAACACCGACACCTATGATAAAAGCGGTGTAAGTGTCAATGTCTAAAACTGACATTAACATTTATAATTACTTTTAATTTAAAAGGTGTAAGTGTCAATGTCTAAAACTGACATTAACATTTATAATTACTTTTAATTTAAAATTATTATCAGCATTTTGTGTCAAAGTATCAGTGTTGTATTTCTGGTGTACGTGGTGTCGGATGCCGGTGCTTCATAAGTATTTGGCTTTGGCATATATATATATATATATATATATATATATATATATATATATATATATATATAGTTGCATGTTAGGTGAGAGAGACTGCTAATTTTAAAATTAAAATGGAATAATGTTATCATCTTTAAGCTTTTTTATTTTTAATATTACAATGATTAGTGTTTTGACTCTGCAGTATGTTTATAGAGATTAATCTCCAAATGATTTTTAGTCCCTCGAAAAAAAAGTTATGCAAAAAACGTAATGAGTTTTGTCCTCCACAAAGTCAATCTATATAACTAATTAAACCTTAATTCGTTTAACTTTGTTTATTCTTTCATATCACCGTTGTTTATACATACAAAAATTATAATAAATTTTTTTTTTGAAAAAGTTTATTTATCTTTTTTATATTTTCATAAACTATTTATGATCTCTTGATAATCATTTTCTCTATATAATATTCAATTAAATATTATATCGAGAAAATAATAGTTAATGTTAACTTGAATTTTGAATGCGATAAGTAAGTGGATATTAAATCGTAAACCTCAATTTTCATTAAAAAGAAAATACACCAAAAGTAACAGTTAAATAACCTTCATATAAAAGTATTTTTTCCTTAAAAAAGTATATACGTATTTCTGATGAAATAAGATTAAATACAACGAAATTAGGTATGCATTCTTCCTAAAGAGTGTGATCCATAATTTGTGGTGATAGTCTCTTAATAATTTTAGGTAGGTTATAAAATTAATCAATCTGACTATTAAAATCAATGTCCTTATAAACTAATGACGAATACAAAATTTTAAGCAAATTAAAAAATAATTGTTATTGCAACAAAATAAATTGTTATTGTAACAAAAATAAATTGATTCTTTATTCACTTGTTCGTGTATTTGAGATAATCTAATGCCTAAACAATATTGGTTAGACATGAAAATCACACAGTTGAGTAAAATCTCCAAAAACTATTTAATTGCAGCTTTTTCTTGTACTACTAAAACTCATCAAATTTTTGCAAAAATTTACTTTATAACTGCCTTTTTTAATTCTTATTAGACATATATAGTTCAAATTTGAATTCTCATTCTCTCAAGTTATTCCACTCTTTTTTTTTTCCTTCTATCTCACTTCTCTCTGCGAATCTTGAGGTAATGTTGCATGCGTGCATCTTCCTTTTTATTAAGCTATTAATTGATTGTTAGTGTCAATTACTCATGAATGCTCCAGTCACCAATTATGTGATTTTTTGAATGCTTAGTGCATTATTTCAAGGAACTAAATGCTAAATGAAAAGTAATATGTAAAGATTAAAGTTTCAAAGTAAAATCATGTTAAAAGAAGAGATTCATAGTACATGTCTGATGAATTTGTTATGAACCAAATCAATACATTATTTATTTCTAAGGATCTTATCAGACAACAGAAATTAAAGGCTTATATAACATAGTAATAATCATGGATAATTAAAGGGATATGAATCATGTGAAAAGTGATCAAGCAAGAGCATGGAGCAAATAGAACTTGTTGCCTTAGTAAAATGTGATGATTTAGGTGGCCACGCTATGGAGCAAAACTGTCTCGACAGTGAGGCCAGGTCCAAAACCGAAAAGCACACCCCATTCAAGCCCCTCGCCGGTTGTGGCAAGTCCGTCTTCTTTTGACTTCCTCCTCATTTCGTCTAAGATGAATAGCACACACGCACTTGACATGTTACCATACTCGCTAAGTACATGTCGAGTGGCTTGCATTTTCTCTGGCTTTAAGCCTAACTTAGCTTCAACTTGGTCTAAAATTGCTGGTCCACCTGGATGCGCAATCCAAAAGATGGAATTGTAATCAGAGATATTCAAAGGTTGAAAAGCCTCAACAAGAGCTTTCTCAATGTTCTTTGAGACGAGGCTAGGAACATCCTTGAGAAGATGGAATGTCAGACCCGCTTCTCGAAGGTGACCATCGATAGCTCCTTCACTATCTGGAACAATTGTTTGTGCAGTCCATACCAGTTCAAACAACGGTTTTTCAACATCCGGCAACGGGTCTGAACCAACAATCACAGCTGCCGCACCATCTCCAAACAACGCCTGTCCCACAAGACTATCAAGATGAGTGTCACTCGGCCCACGGAATGTGACTGCAGTGATCTCAGAACAAACCACCAACACACGGGCACCTTTGTTGTTCTCAGCCAAATCTTTAGCCAAACGAAGCACCGTCCCACCAGCAAAACAACCTTGTTGGTACATCATATAACGCTTCACATACGGACGAAGCCCTAAGAGCTTGGTGAGCTGATAGTCGGCACCAGGCATGTCCACACCACTTGTGGTACAAAAGATGAGATGAGTAATCTTAGACTTAGGTTGACCCCATTCCTTGATAGCCTTTGTTGCAGCCTCTTTTCCTAGCTTTGGTACTTCCACAACCACCATGTCCTGTCTTGCATCCAATGAAGGTGCCATGTACTCACACATACTAGGATTCTCCTTCAGAATCTCTTCTGTCAAATGCATGTATCTCTTCTTAATCATAGATTTGTCACCTGAAAAATATAATACGCAGTTTAACTATTAGTCTTAAGTAACACTTAAAATTACATACAAAAAAGATGTATCACTATTATATCTTACACATGCGCTGGAATTTTTCTTTGAGCTCGGTTTTGTGTTCGCTGTTTGTGATACGGAAATAGTAATCCGGATAAGTACTCTGATCGACGCAGTTTTGAGGAGTAGCCGTGCCAATTGCAAAGACAGTTGCAGGGCCTTCAGCCCTCTGTGCCTGGCGGATCTCATTAACTGTCACCATGTTGGTGGAGGTGGAGAGCACGTAGTAAAGGTTAGAAGGAATGGAAGATGGTTGATGAGAATTGTTGTGTGGAACATGGTCTATTTATAGTGTGGCTGGCTGAGCAAGTAGAAGGAACAAATAGTTAGATGGAGTTGAATGTGCTACATTACAACAACGACTTAAGAAGCATGATAATGGCCGGCAAAATCATAATTATTATATTATATAATAAAATAGAAAATTGTCTCGTTAAGTCAGTTCAATTGATAGTTATGGAGAAACATTAATCGCAGAGATTGAGTTCAAATAAAGAGTGAACTAAAAAGAGTAGCTAGTAATAGTAATGAGTATGAGTTAGGTGAGGGTGGCTAATTACCAGCTTGGCGCATGACTGTGTAGAAGGGAGACTCTCGCTTACCAACCTAACAAAACCACATTTTCTTACGAGTCAGTCAACCGTTTGGTGTTATTTCATTTGAGCTTAGATTTTCTTTTTAATAAGACTTCATCACTTACTATAAGCTTGCCATTTTTAAACATTCAATCAACTTTTATCCTACTAAACGAATTGGGCCACATAAATTGAATTCCACCATAATGTTATGTTCCATTTTTAAGTATTTTAAGAAAAATAATATTGTGATGATTTTATTGTGTTAATATTTTTAAGACTTATCATTCTTGAATTCTATCATAATGTTCTGTCCCATTTTTAAGTATATTAAGAAAAATAATATTGTGTGATTTTATTGTATTAGTATTTTTAAGACGGATATTCTATCAATTTTTTATTTTATCATTCTTATGTGACAAATAAACAGAAAATAAAATAATTAAAATAATATTGTATAAAATATTTTTGTGACAAATAGAGAGAAAATAAAATAAGATACTATGAGTGGATTTCTTTTAACTAGTGCCCATTTATTCAGGAATAATCTCTTGTAAAATAAAGTAGATTACAGGATTGTTGTATGAAATCTTTGTTTTGTTTTGAAAATTCTTGTCTTATTTGATATGTTTCGATACATTAAAATATTTGTGAGAAATAGATGCGTGTCAATTTTTTAACCAATCTTTGGAATGAAACTTAAGCCAACATAGATGTTAATATGGTTGGGTAGAAGAAAAACGTGTATCTATGGATTTGATTAGAATTTTTCTAATTGTGGGACAGAAGATCAAATGTTTTTGCATAAGACAAACTTATTTTAAATAAAATGGTTAAATGAAAAAATATGTTGGAACAACTTAAAATTATGATTTTTTTTATATAGAGTTAAAAAATTCATGCATATTAATGTCATGTCTCTTAAGATTATCAATATAATTTTAAAGAGAATTGAATTTCTTATCCAAAATAATGCGATAATTGAGCATTTTAATAATTTATCTTTAATGTGTATTTAATTCTACACATTTGAAATTATTCAATAATTTTTACCAGGAAAAACACTTAAATTTTAATTTTAAAAACTAAAATATTCACTAACTAATAATAAAATAAAAATTTTAGCGGGACAACTGCCACCAGTTTACTTCAAGTTCAAGTGTATTTGTCCCTACTTATGTTCTTCCAAAAAGTGCTAAACTCAACTAAGATAATAAATAAGTAATTTATACTAAATATGCTCTCAAAGCTTACTGAGATAATAAATACTAGAGTATGTTAGTAATGGAACTTAACTAAAATTAACAAGTTAGCTAAAAACTTATTATTTGAGAGAAAGAGAGGAGAGATCTCTTTATTGATTTATTAGTCCTTTAGTTTACACCATCGTTTAAGAGTGTGTTGGAGAATTGGAAATTTTTTAAAATTTTAAAATTTTAAGTAATTTATATGATTTAATTAAAATTCATTTGTTTTTAATTTTTTCTGTTTAGATGAAATATTAAAATTATTCATTGTTATATTTTTAGGGTCATCTTTATGAATTTTAAAATTTTTGGATTAAATTTAAAATTTAAAAAATAGAGACCAAATTGCATTTTTAATTTTTTTTAAAAATCAATTTGTAAAATTTAAAAATTATTAAGATTATTTATAATTTTTTGAAAACTTGAAGACCAACTTACAAATTTTAAAATAATAATAATATTGAAGTTACACGAGACTTTTAAGAGAAATTTTAAATTATTTGATTTTAAATATCATTTCAAAATTATTAAATTTAATTTAGATAAAATATTTGATTGATTTTCATTATTTTAACAATTCTTAATATTTTTTATCCAAATAATATTTTATCTAAATTAATTTAAATTCCTTCAATTTATTACATTTCTATGTTAAAATGTTCTATACAAACACTTGTGTTTGGACGAGATAATTGAGAATCTTTAAGGAATTTAAAATTTTAAACAATTTAAATGATTTAAATAAAATTTATTTATTTTAAAATTATTATTTTTGGATAAATTAATAAAATAATTTATTGTTAATTTTTTGAATTCATTTCCATAAATTTTAAAATTTTTGAGTCAAATTCAAAATATAAAAAATAGAGATCAATTAGCAATTTTCAAAAATTTGAAGGGACCAATTTTTAAAATTTGAAAATTATTAAAGAATTATTTACAATTTCGGAGTACATTTGAAATTTTTGTAATATATGAGGACCATCTTGTAAAATTGCAAAAAACGCATTATGGTGAAAGAGTAATTTTAATTTTAATTATATTTTTTTTTTGTCATTTGAAATTCGTTAAATTTAATTTAAATAAAATATTTTATAAATGTATATCATTTTAACACTTCTTCCTATTTTTTATCCGGATAAATTTAAATTATGTCATTTTAAATTTTTTCAAAAAATTAGTTTTTTCTCATTAAAATATTTCATCCAAACACACTTTTAAAATTATACGTGAAAGGAAATCCTTTGTATTCTTGGATATAAAAAAAGAAAAATACTATTTTTATATCAAATATGTACTCTTGAAATATTATATATTTTTATTAAAATGAAAAAAATAACTTTTTCATATTTTTTTATAAATTGAGAAAGTACGAAAACAAAATTATACGATTAAATAGTTTCATTAACCAACGTCTTAAATTTTATTAACCAACTTTATAATTATTAAAAATCTGAATAGTCTATTAACCAACTTTATAACTTTATTAATATAATTTTTTATATTTTATTATCAACTTTGTTTTACTATAAAAAATTATTTTTAATATCGTGATCTTTATTAATCAATTTCATCATTTTATTAATTAATTTTTTACATTTTATTAAACAACTTTATTTTACCATAAAAAATCACTATTTATATATTATTCACAAACACTATTCACATATATTATTCATTATTTAATATTATTTTATTAAAAAATATTATTCATCACTATTATATATATATATATATATATATATATATATATATATATATATATATATATATATATATATATATATATATATATAATTATGAAAATCTGCATACAAGCTTAACAATAACCCACCGAAATGCTTTTTAGTTTACTGAAACCTATTTGCAAGTTTTCATATCGTTAGTGACCAAATTTAAACAACTTACTTTATTATTGATATATATCTTTTGTGTTGTATTATTTATATTATTTTATTTAAAATAAAAAACCTACAATCTAGAAGCCTTAGCCTTCTTTTTAAAAGCTAACCAATATATTCAATAATTATATTATGTAATTAATAATTTATTATAATAAATATTAATAATATTTAAAAAAATTAAATATATTTTCGATTCCTTTAAATTTTAAAGAATGATCCTTCTAAAAATTTTAATTTTAACTTTTTGTCTCTCATGGTAAAATCGTAGCTAAAATAGTTTCTAATTTCCTCGCTAAATAAAAAATCATCGCTAAAACCGTCATTAAATTATAAAAAATTGTCGCTAAATTGTAAAAAACTGTCGCTAAATTGTAGAAGGAATCAAAAGTTAAAATTAAAATTTTTAAGAGGACTATTCTTTGAAGGAAATGTTTAGAGGGACTAAAGTTGAAAACCTTTATATTTAGAAAAACCAAAAACTTATTTAACCCTTAAAAAATTATATAATACACAAGTTTGTGAATTCTTGTCGACTCAATTTCAAATAGATTTAAACTATAAGTATGGTAGTATAAATTATTATTTTTATAATAAACACATCATAAATTACAACTTTTATGCACTATATTTTGTTAAAATTGTTGAAAGTAATTTCTTCTGTCGAATCAATTTGCTCGATAGAGACAAGGAAGTGTCGAAACATGGTGTGTCGAAGATACTGCACACATATTTGATTTTAGATTTAGATAGATTTGATTTAGATATAAAATAGATAGATTTGATTTAGTTCCAAAATAGGTATTTTAGACTTTTAGAGTTTTGAGTTTTGCCTTAAGGAACAAGCTAACCTAAATCTATAAATAGAGGGAGTAACTCTTATTTTTGTAATTAAGTCAATTCATTGTAATCATAGAATTTACATTTGCAAGTGATTAATAAAGTTTTTCCACAGTTTGTGGGCGGAGAGAAACTTTGCAGAAATTAATTATCTTCTTTCTTTTCTTTTCATATATTTAATTGTCATTGTGTGGTTATATCAATCTTGTCCATTAATATTGGTAGAAATTCATCATAGATATTTGGTGGATTTCCAACATCTAGTATCAAGAGCTCCGATTAATCGATTCAAGGGAAGTAACGGTCAAGAACGATTGAGGAAGAAGAAGAATTCACGATGGTAGTGAGTTATGGGAATGCAAATTATCCAACAACTCTACCAATTATGAAAGTAGACAACTATGAGAATTGATGCAAACAGATGAAAATTTTATTTAGGTTTCAAGATCTTTGGGATCTTGTACAGGATGGATTAGAAGCGCTTGGAGAAAATACTTCAGAAGAAGAAAAGAAGAAACACACAGAATCAGAGAAGCTGAGTTATAAAGTACTCTTCATAATTCATCAATGTATGAGTCCAAAATTTTTCGAAAAAGTGAGTGATTCAAAATCTACAAAAGAAGATTGAGAGGTTCTTGA